AATTCGAACACACGTACTCCGGAGTGATAATCGGTGACGTTACCACCGGGCCACGACCACCCGGTGAGGATAACGGGAGGAATTCTGTAGATCCGGGTGGCTTTTATGGGTTCAGTGATAAAATCCGTTTGTACGACCATTAACAACATTTTTGTGCGGCGGTTTTGGTTGCCGTCTGTTGGCTGCCCAGTTGGATGATCAGTAGGAGGAATACACTAGGGTGGAAGCGGAATCAAAGAGAAAATTAGGAATTTCCGTAGATTAATGGTGCAAAGAAATTGAGAAGATGCATGAACGTCACTGTTTACGACTCCCAGCTATATCACTCTGTGTTTTTAACCATCGATTAGGATTGTCCCGAGGTCCCCATCCAGGGAGCCTAGCGCGACCTATATAACCCAGACTCTTGGTTAAAGGTTTCATACTATCATACCAGGTCTGAGTTTGACAACTTTTGGCCTTTTTCACCCATTACCTGCCTCGGCAAAGTTACAACAGGATCTGGCGTATCTGTGTGGTGGTGGTGGTAAGTGGTGTTAAAACATGGCTTGCGGTTGGGTAGGTCGAGAGTTGGAATATTTAGGTAAGGTAGAGTTAGAAGCATATTAAAAATAAAATACTTCATCTCCATTCGGATCGGACTCTAAATCACCAGATCGCTTAAAGATGGGAAGACGAGATCATTCGGCTTTCTTAAGGAGCCTTGTTTTGTCTGCACTTCCTCCAAGGGGAACATTTGGTAGAAACATTCTCTACGTCCGATTCACTCTCCGTCATTCAAAGTAACCTAGGTTCTCCGGTATGAGGCGAAGTTACCTGGGACAGAGTACCTGTGCGGCTTGAATATTTGGCGGTAGTCCCCCATTTGGAGACATATCGCTTTCCGAAGACTTAATGCTTGGCCTTCCCTTAGTGACTGTGATTTGGTGTATCTATGTACCATGCTTTGTTGTTTACTGCTTACTATTGACAAGGCCTTTCGTGTTAGAGGAACAGACACGCGTTGGTGGTGTACATAATAAGATCAGCGAATTCCACGGATTGGAGCTACTCCTGCGCATTTATTAAGGCTCATCTTGAACAAAGTCGCGAAGTGTAAATAGTTTGGTAATTCGAAGCGCGACAGAATGAGAGATTGTGCAACATTTATAGCTACTAAAAGTCCAAGCGTATAGAGCAAAGAATTTTGTCGACTCTATAGGTCTGGTGAATTATAAATGGGCTACCAAGTGCTAAATACATCCATTATAATGACCATTGATATTCTGGACGATGAGAGTGAACTTTATTGATGTTTTTGGAGAAGAAAAAATATGGACACTGGAGTCATTTGACAAAAAGCTAGGTAAGTTTTCGGGTTTGAGGAAATAATGTGTATGCGAGTAGTTGACGTGGGGATGGTCTATGAAGGAATGCCCTGAGAAATTTATTAGAGTAGATGTCTCTTCTTTCAGCCTGGGGTCAAGAGGACTTTAACTGATTAGTGTCAGGACCTGGCACAGAACCTATAAGTGTGACTTTTTCATTTCTTATTAGATCAAACTGTTTGAAGAGATTTGTGTACACAGTTAGATTGAATGTATGTAGTGGCAAACTTTCATCTTCTTCAAAAGAGTCCCAATCCCATCTATCCTATAGCTTCCAACTTAGTGTATGCATACTTTTTATTACATACTTTCGTGTGATGAACAGCAGACGGGGTAAGCCCTATGGTCATGAGGACCTGCTATACATTGATGGAAACCGGTAATCTAAGCCCCGGGACTTGGAGAGGCGAACCACATAAGGCCCCGATAGGTTGGGTGTGGTATTAAACCGGACGACAGACGGGCTCGAACCTCAGACCGTGGGGTTCAGTTCATTTCAGTTTGTGCAACCTCTAACCATGCACTATCGTGCGCAGGTTTTGTTTATTATCTTTCGGTTACTCATTTGGATGAACATGACAAGAAAAACAAGAAAGGTTGAAAGTAGGATCGAAGAGAAAATTGAAAAGCTCAGTGAACTAATGATACAGAGAGATTGAGAACATGCACAAACGCCACTGTTTACGACACCCAGCCACATCACTCAGTTTCTCTAACCATCGGGTACGACCATCCCGAGGTCCCCATCCACGGAGCCTAACAGGACCTATGTGACCCAGACTCCTGGTTGGGGTTTTCATACCCCTATGCTATGTCTTAGCTTGACCACCCTAGGCTTTACTCCACCCACTACCTGCCTCGGCAAACATCGCTCGCCGTGGCAATCTATTT